CCAAGGACATGATTCCACAGAGGTCAGACACAGGGTCCAGGAAAGTCATAGAACAGACATAGGGTCCTGCAAGTAATAGACTCATAAACTTAGAGCTGGAAAGGACATTTAGTCTAAGCCTCTCATTATATAGATAATGAAACCAAGGCCCATGGAGATAAAATGACTCGACCAAAGAGTAGATTTGAGTACAGGACTTTGGACTACAGGTCTCCATTGTACCATATTTAGTTGGATTTGGCATTCTGAAAACTGCTTTCCTGTATCTTTGTGGAAAGACTAGTGACTCCTTTTGCTATAACCTATAGCAAGGATTCTTAACTTGGAGTCCATGATCTTTTTTTCCAAATATAATTTTATAGCTATATTTCACCTGTATTTCAGTTCCTCATCTGTAAAATAAGTTGGAGAAGGAAATGGCAAACCACTCCAGTATCTTTGCCAAGAAAACCCCAAATGGGGTCACAAAAAGTTGAACACAACTGAAGCGACTAATCCTCTATTCAAAGCTCTTTCTAACCTGACCTCCTCATGTTTCCAGTCTTCTTATAGTTACCCATATATCATACTACCCAGGTAATATAGTGAAACATGCCTCCATGCTGCTCCTCCCACATGAATACTTTATCTACTGATTCTGGGCATTTTTATGTGGCAGCTAGGTGGTACAGTAAGTAAATAGAGTGCCAGGCCTAAAGTCAGGAAGATTCATCTTCCTGAGTTCAAATATGGCTTCAGACACTTACTAGATGTGTGACCCGGGGCAAATCACTTAACCTTGTTTGCCTCAGTTTCCTCATCTGTAAAATGAACTGAAGGAGGAAATGGCAAACCACTTCAGTAACTGCCAAGAAAACCCCAAATGGGGTCGCAAAGAGTCAGATATGACTGAAATAATTAAACAACAAAAAATTTCAATATTCAATATAAAATTCAAATTCAATATAAAAATTCAATTGAATTTCTTTGTACCTCGTGTTTTTTGTCTTATGAATTTAAAAACAGTATTCTGAGAGGGGGATCTATAGGCCTCCCCAGAAGATGAAAGTCACAAAAAGTGTAGGGCCTAAGAAATATCAATGAGTATTCTAGACTCCTAGATGGAAGAGACCTTAGAGGTCCCCTACTTCGACCCCATTATTTGACAGTTGAGGAAACCTAGGCCTGAAGGGATAAATAAAGAGACTTGCCCAAGATCATACAGGGGATAAGAGGTAGAGTCAGGATTTGAACCCAGGTCCTGGGTTCCAATCAGTGTTATATTATTCTGAGTTATACTTGGCCTTCCAAGGGTTAATTTCCTGTGTTATTGGGTTGTTGTTTTTTTTAAGAGATGGCTGACCCCCACTTACTACAATCGGTAGCCCAAAAAGCAAGTCCAGAGGAGCTAAGAAATTCAGCATCCTGTTGTCACTAGGAACTGGAATTCAAACCTTGCAGCAGTCTGTAAGCAGTTAGTATGTGCCTTGCAAAACTCCAAGACTGACCAAGGATTTGGTTTTCTCATTTGTCTTCACACCATCTGTATTAACGGACAAGCGTTAATACATCTACTTCGGTTTTTTCAGCCTTGTGATTTTGTTTTAATACTTGTTGTTGTCTCATTGAGTTATTGTTTTCTGTTTGACACATTCTAATATTCAGGGAGCCTTTTTATGAATAAGGTTTATCATCTTCTCGTCTAAGCTAGTATCTCTTGCTTTGTTTCATCCAAGTACTCTTGCAGTTTGTAGCCAAACCATTCTTTTCCTTGAGGGTCTATTTGGTCTATTTGGAATTACTCCCTTCGGCATTTACTTCTTGGGCTTCTCTCAATTCATAGTTATTTTTTACTTATGTTTTCTTGTTTATTCACATCTCAGGCCTCAGTTTCTGGATTGGGACTATGTGCTTTGGAAAGATTCTGCTCTTTCTTATATTCTTGGATGGTATGGGCAAACCATGCTTAGTCATGGATATGGTGACTAAAAATAGGCTCCACCCTCTGCAGGAATTCCTGTGTTTGGCTCAGTCTCCGGGTGGCTCAACCTAGATTTTGTCCTCAGTCTTTTCTCTCTCCATTTTGTACGACACTGGGCCCAGAATTGACTCCATCCCTTGATGTGATCCTGATAGACCCCAACCAGATTTTGTTCATTGTGCTGGCAGTAAGCCTCCTGTGGGACCTCTGGTGCTTTGCTTCCCAGGGGGTGCCCTGGGCCTTTCTCTTTCTGTAGCTCAGGTGTGGGCTGCCTGCATGCTTGTCTTTCCCTGCCTCCTGCAGGGATGCAGACAGATGCAGGCTGACCTGCTGCTAGGCTACTGGCGCTGGAATGCCCCTGTTTTCTACAATGGCTTGGATGTGGACTGTCTGGACCCTGCAGTGCCTGGGAGCCAGTATGCTTCTGTCTCTGATGATGGCTCAGGTCTGTTGGTGAGCTGTGTCTTCCACTTACCAGGGTTTGTCTTCACTCAGCTTCTATGGGTTTCTGGAAGATTTCTTGTATGGTTCTGAACTGAATAGAGGAGCTTAGAGGCATTTCTCTTTGGTTTTCTTTATCTTTGTTCCTTCAGGTACATTTTTAGAGCTTTCCTGGTATATTTATAGGGACTCTCACTCAGCTCCTGTAAGTCTTATCTTGCTGCCATCCTACTGCAAGTTCCCTAGTACGTCCATTCCAAAGATGGAAAAAGTAATGACCAGTCACTTCAGCTGATTCCTTTCAGTGGGACTAAGATAGAAACAAGGACTAGGTGTCCTGATTCTCAATTCAGCACTATCTCCATGGCTAGACTCTACTAGAGAATGAAGAAAAAGCTGAGCCTGGAAATAGCTTCCATGCAATGGGAAAGGGGGCAATGAACAGTGAAAGTGGGAGTGAACAGGTAATTAGCTGGACTAAAAGAACAGGGCTGTTTGGGGGTGAGCTGATTCTACACTAGGCTCCCCTGTGAGTTTCTCTTTGCCCCAGCACTGCATTTCCTCAGCTAGCTCTGACCCACCCCAACCTTTCTTCCCTCACTAAATCCATGGCCACTAAACTGTATGACTCCCTGGCCCTATCCTGCTCTCCTTATTCCAAGTCTGACCTGACAACCCAGTATGCTCACCTGCCCTCTTTAAGCTGAATCCTGCTCCAAGAAAATTAAGTCGATTTCTGAGTCAACCAGCTGCTTTGGATAAGTTCCACAAATATGACCTGACCATCTTCCCAGCCCTGGGAGGATTCAGCTAGTCAGGACCACAATCGGAGAAGCCTGACCCCCAACAGGACAGCTGGATCATTAAGGCATATGACCCTGAGTTTTTGCAGGGAACATAAACACCTATGCACAACTGGGGTGTTTGGCTTAAAGAGGCTATGTTATCAAATGAGACTCATTGTCACAAATACAGAATACTCTCTTCCATGAAGACAGTACAACGTCAACAACAGAGTCCCTCCAACCCTAGATTCTCAGTCCAACAGGAATACTGAGTAATGATTTAGAAGTCAAGGTGACAGCCTCCTGTCCCTGATGATGATGATAACCCAGAAGGTCAGAGACATCCTCAAGCATTCCCCTGTGCCCTTTAGTAACCACATACCTGGATATTGGTACCAGACTTAGACATGGGACCTATAAACACAATGTCAAGAGGAACAAGTTTAATGGAAACTTGGAGGTATAAGAGCTAGCTCTAGGCTTCTTCAAGTCATTACTCCTGCCCCACTCCCACCTACCCCAGGTTTATCATTGCTGTGATCCAGTTCCTATTTGAATGGTGGAGTGTCCTATTAGCCCAATGACTTTAGTACCCTGTTGGAATCCAAATCTTCCTTCTGGGGTAATTCATCTCTTAGCCTCAGCCCTGAGAATAGAACATGTATGTGGTCTCATTTCTGCCATAGACACACCAAGAAAAACTCCAGATGTCTACATATTGGCAACAAGAACTTCCCATTCCTTCAAGATAAAAATCTTAAAACTTTTGGAAGGCAGACCAAGAACAAGTAAGACATCTAGGGAACTAGATTTCTGTGAACATTACAGACATGACTGTACAGCAAAGCTCTGAAATTCTGACTATGTAGAAGGGCAGCACAGGGCTGTCAATAGAGTAATTTGGCTGGAAGGTGAGACTCATGAGTCCAAACCTGGATCTGCCACTGCCTGGTTGTGTGATGTTACACAATTCACTTCTCTAGATTCTGACTTTTCATCTTCAAAATAAGGACAAAAATACCTACTGAGCCTACTTCAATGAGCTGCTATAAGGAACTTCTGAGAAAATGGATGAGAAAATGCTTTGGAAAAAGTATAAAGGCCTGGTTAAATATGTGATGTTAATATTAGTCCTTGTTCCCATTCTTGGAGATCTATCTTGGGTGTGAGCAATGAAGTTATGAACTGACTCTACACTTGAGGAGTATAAACTAACATTGGACTTATTTTCACACCAAGTATTGGCTTCTCTAGAGGTATGGGGAGGAGGGTTATTGATATGAACCTAGGGTTTTACAGATGTATGGATCTCCTAGTACAGAAAATTCCTCCATAGATGCAGATCAGCAACTTCTGTACCTCTCAGAGAGCTACCTGGGGCACTGAGAGGTTAAGTTACACAGCTGGTATGTGGCAGGGGTGGGATTTGAGCCCGGGTCTTCTTGACTCCCAGACCAACCTGTTATCCACTACACCACTCTCTGCTTTTCTTTAACCTCACAACTAGAGTAGAATTCTCCATCCCCAAAAGGTACCAGGGAACCTGAGGGAAAGAAAAATTCCAAGACTTGGCATCTAGCTACAGGCTGAACCAACTGGGAAGAAAGTGTCATCCCCACCCCCTTCCCCAATGGCTAGACCCCAACACTGAATCTGTGGGTCCATCCCTGCCCTCACTCCCAAACCACCACAGACAAACATGCATATACACATGTACACACATATCCACACATATGCACGAGTGTGCGCACACGCACACACACGCGCACACACACACACACACACACACACACACACACCCCTGCAACTTTCTGTGTACGTCGGACCAGTTTATTGGTAAAATGAACATTAAGCTTCACAAACGCTGGGACAGTAAAGCTTCACGAACGCTGGGATGTGCTTTTCCTTTTAAAGAATTTCCACTGGACCTTGATAATGAGCATCCAGTCGTTGACATATAAACTCTTACAAGCGGAGGTGCACACATGCGCTTCAGGGGGGAGAAGGTGGCAGCGTCTGGGAGCTGGGGAGGGCTTCTGCACCATGCACAGGGAGCCCACAATTCATTTCCCAGCTTTCTGGGCCTTCTGTGCAGACTTGGTGACCTTGCCTGCCCCTCCACTCTTCTTCTCAACATTCTTGATGACACCTACAGCCACAGTCTGCCTCATGTCCCGCACGGCAAAGCGACCTGTGGAGGGGGTGGAAGAGAGGAGGAGAGTGAGAGGCAGACCAGACCAGGCGCCATACATGTCCATATCCACGGAAGAGCCAGCAAGCCTATCCCTAGCAGGCCAGTCCTCTGCTTTCCTCGCCTACTCTATTTTTTTTTTTTATGGCTAGGCAACGGGGTTAAGTGACTTGTCCAGAGTCACACAGCTATTAAGCATTATGTGTCTGAGGCCGGATTTGAACTCAGGTCTTCCTGAATCCAGGGCCAGTGCCTAACCCCTGTGCCACTTAGCTGCCCCCCCCACTTCTTGCCCAAACTATTACATAGCCTATTTTATAGATAATAATTGCCTACAGATAGAGCATACAGATAGAGAACTGGCCTTGAAGGCAGAAAGATCTAGGTTCAAGTCTCAACTCTACCATATGCTGTCTGTGTGACCCTGGGCAAGTCACCTAATTTCTCAGTGCTCTATAGGCAATTCTCCAAGACTGAGTTGCAAGGTGTTGACCTGCATTGGTAAAGGGAGTTTACTCACCTGGAAGTCCCCTATATCAATAAAATCACAGGTCCAGTTCCTATCCCTTTCGCTAACACCCTCCTAAGTGATCTCCCTGCTTCCAGTCTCTGCCTCTCCAATTCATCCTCCATGTAGCTGCTCAGAAAATCTTCTTAAGGCACAGGTCTGATTATGCTACTCCCTTTCTAAAAAACCATCATGGCTCCCTATTTCCCTATTGAAGGCCCTTCACAATCCCTAACTTTCCTGACTGATCTCAAACTAGTATACTTTAAGCACTCAATATTCCAGCCAAACAGGCCTACTAGCTGTTCTTTAAACTTGACCTGCCATGTCTTACCTCTATCCGTTTGCATTACTCACCCCCTTGTCCCCTCACCTCCACCTCTCAGAATCTTTATCTTGTCATAGGAGCATAGACCTAGAGCTGAAAGGAGTCTTAAAGTTTATCTAGATTATAGATTTAGAGCTGAGGTCATCTAGTCCAACTCCTTCATTTTACAGATGAGGAAACTGAGGCATAGGTAGCCATTTAGATCTAGGGCTGGATGTTAGCTCAGAGGTTATCTAGTTCAACCTGCTAATTTTACAGATGAGGAAACCAAGGCCTAAAGTCACCCAAGTCATAAACATTGGGGGTGGAATTTGAACCCAAGTCCTCTGACTCTAGGGTCAGTGCCCTCTCCACTGTACCATGCTGCCTCGCTTTAAGCCCTTCCTTCAAGGCTTAGCTCAGATGCCATCTCCTCTGTCATCTCTTCCTGATCCCCTTGTTATCAAGACACGCTCCCACTTCAAGTTTGCTATAGTGGTTGGGCCAGTCTCTACCTAGCCCTATCACTCCCTCATTTTTATCCATTACACATTTTGTGGTTTTAACAGGTTCTGGTTGCTGTCCTTCATTCTCAAAGAAGACTAAAATGTGCTTGGAGTCAAGCACAGTGTGTCTGACTGTGGTGGATCAGACTAATGAGTTTGGAATACTCTACCTCTCATGTTGTATTCTCCTGGTAGAATGTAAGCTTCTTGAAGTAAAGAACTGTTTTGTTTTTATCTTTTTTTGTTTGGGGGGAGGGAACTGGTCTTTGGACACCCAGCACTGAACACAATACCTTGTACATAGCGCTTCACAAATATTGTTTTCCCCCAAAAAAGTTTTGTTTGTTTGTTTTCCCATCTGGTATTTCACCAGTGTGAGAGACATGTCTTTTGGAAGCTCACTAATATGGATTGGCAACTCATCTGTTAATTTATAATCCCAGAGAGCTCCTGGAGCAGTGAGAGGGTAAGTGATTTGCCCATAGCCACACAGCCATATGCAACAAACGCAAGGCTTAACCCCAAGTTTTCCTACTAAGGGCAGTCCTCTATCCACTAAGCCAAGTTGCCTCTCTGTTCAACTGTCAAACTCCAGGCTAGAATCTCCTTCAGGTTCCATATCAGGTTTATCTCCCTGAAGAATATGCCTCATTGTCCTTTCAAGGAGTGCTACCCTTGATTGGACATGACTCCCCTTCATCTACAGGACTTCCAGTCATCTATAGGTCTGCAGCACGTCTATAGGACTGATCCTGGCAAGTAGCTTTAAAATGGTTATGGAGCTAGGGACCAGAGTTCTGGAGAAGTACAAGCTGGGTTGAAGAACTATCCTATCTCATTTCCGCTCCCTTTAGTCACTGATCTTCCTCCTCTTCCCTTTCCAAAGTCATTGTCGAACCCTTGAGTTCAGTGAAGACAGGTCCTGAATTCAGGGAGAGATGTGATTTCTAAGAGATCTCCATTCACCCCCAAGAGAGAGGCCCTCCATTCTCATGCCCAGGGACATTCTAAAATGCTTTCAACTGGTAGATGAGGGAACTCAGTGTGCACAATTCAGAATACTGACCCTCAGCGCACACAGACATTCTTTGTCTTATCATTTAAATGGTCTGGGTTGACTATGGGCAAAATAAGGCTCTCACCAACTACAGCCATTTCTCAGTGTATGAATTAGTGGCTTTGAGGATTATTCACAGCAAATCTTTAATTTTTGGTCAATTTCCCCAACCATATAGTATGCCCCAGGTCCTATCAAGCCCCTACATTCCATCTGATGTGTCTAAGAGAAAACCAGCTGAACCTAACAGCATTCTGAAATCATGCTAGTTAAGGAAAAAAAAGAAAACCAATATACTCCAAGAAAACCTTGCAGCATGCTCCTAAACTGCTATAATTGACTTTGGGATTATCTGTTGTTTACAATTATCTATAACACTGGCATGGATAATGGAGAGTTGGTTATAAATAGAGTCTCCCTGTTTCTGTCACTCCTGATAAGATGTCTGTCTGTACAATGTCTGTTGAATGGAATAGAGAAGCCAAGTAGTCTCTCACCAAGGGGAGGATACTGGGAGAAGCTCTCCACACACATGGGCTTCCCAGGGATCATCTCCACAATAGCGGCATCTCCAGATTTCAGGGATTTGGGATTATCTTCCAGCTTCTTGCCAGAGCGCCGATCAATCTTCTCTTTCAGCTCAGCAAATTTGCAGGCAATGTGGGCAGTGTGGCAGTCAATGACAGGCGAGTAGCCAGCACTGATCTGCCCTGGGTGGTTCAGAATGATGACCTATGGAACATAAGAGAAGGCTGAGCTCAGCCTCTGACCAAGTATCCCCCAAGTGCAACTCATAGGGTCCCTCTCTTCCTTCAACATGCACATCAAGCACCACATTCTACAGGAAATGTTTCCTGCTCCCCCCTAATTGCAAATGTCCTTTTCCCCAAGTACCTTGGCTTTGACTGGTTTTTATTTAGTTTTTAAATTTATTCTGTATATACTTATGTACTTGTCTCCCCTATTAGTATAATATAATATGATGTTTTAAGGTTTGCAAAATATTCTACAAATATTATCTTACTTGATCCTTATAATAAACCTGGGATATAGGTGCTATTATTATTTCCACTTTACAGGTAGGGAAAGTGAGGCAGACAAGGGTTAATTGATTTGCCCAAGGTCACAGAGCTAGTAAGTATCTAAAACTGGATCTGAACTCATCTTCTTGACTCTAGGTCCAGCACTTTATTTAAATTTATTCTGTATATACTTATTCTGTATATACAGAGCCACCCCAGATGTGATATGATATGTAGTGTTGTGTCTCCTTTGATTAGAGATTGTTTCGTTCTTAGTATTTGTATCCCTAATACCTAGCATGTAGTAGGTGCTTAATAAATGTTTGTAGATTGATTGATTGAAATATAAGTGACATAACACCACCATCAGATAATCCCTGATCTAAGGGGAGACATAGTCCAATGCTTAGGAAGCCCTAAATCTGATAAGGAAGTCCTAGACCTGCCCTCAAAGAGTCTTGTGTATGATGACAAAGTCCCAGACCCTAAGCACACTTCTCACTGCCTTCTGGAAGAATTTAGCTGAATTCGTCTCTAGAAAAGCATACATCTCCTGACAGCATCACCAGTTCTTGAACTGATCTCAACCCTGCTCCAACCTGTAACTTCCTGTTAGGCTTGAAGAAGGAACTACACCTTCACTAGATCTCACCTACAACAAGGGCTCCACCACTGCAAGACAACCAGGTTGGCAAAATGAGGGCATTTTTACCTTTCATTTCTTAAGTCAACTATATCCAACTCCTTCCCCAGATATAGCTGTGGCTTAATACTGGCTCTCTCCATTGCCAGGCCACATGAGGTCCCTGTTGGCTTGAATACTTGGAGAAAGGGGCCTCTGACTAACTATAAAGGAAGAGAGAGGAGAAGAGCCAGGATCAGGGACCTGAGTCCAGGGATGATTGGCCAAACTACTCATCAATGATGAGCTGCAGGGATGGTCTACAGAAATCTGGAATCCCTGCCTGTCTCCAAGTTAGACACAATAGAGTGGCACATTAAGTTATTATAATTGTTCCAGTTACCCTCAGGAAATTTAATGAGAGTTTCCAGTTGCAGCCTAGTGGTTCTGGCTGTGTCTGCTCCTGCAGAGGAAAACAGGCAGTCCTCAGCCCAGGGCCTTGGCACCACAAATACATATCCTTGGTATTGGTAATTTTGAAGGGAATGTAGGGTGCTGGCTGAGTGCTCTTCTTCTATGACCACAAGATGTTCCTGAGGCCTCCTCTAGGGTCAGCAGTAAAACTGTACTAAAGAATCACCTTATTCAAAAACCTCCATAGGCCAGCTTTGGCCTCACCTTGCTCAATTTCAGGCCTCTGTCTCACTTTCAAGACATCTTCTACTCATCTCTATGACCCTGGGCAAGTCATAAAACCTCTGATTGCCTCAATTTTCTCCACTGTAAAATGAGGGTAATAATAGCAACTACCTCACAGGGTTCAAGGATCAAATGAGGATCAAATGAGAACATTTTTGTAAAAAGTGCTTAGCACAGTGCCTGACACACAGTAGGCATGATATCAGTGCTTATTTCCTGCCCCTCTTCCCTTTCAGCCAGCCTGTTCACATTCTGCTTGGTTCATCACCTCCAATCCCTTCCCACAGGAGAATGGAACCCTGACCCTAGAGTGACCCTAGGATTTGATAGGCCAGTTTCTACCTTATCTTGCTTGGTTACAAGCCTCCACCACACTTCCCTACCCCTACCCTTTCCAGCTCCTCAGCTCTTCATTATCTTTCCCAATTAGAATGTAAGCTCCTTGAGGGCAACTGTCTTGCTTCCTTATATTTGTGTCCCTAGTACATATCACAGTGTCTGGCACATAATAAAGGCATAAAGTGCTCTATTCTCTATCTATCCATCCATCTATGCATCCACCCATCCATCTATCTTTCTATCTATCTAACTATCCTATCTGTCTATCACCTATCTTCATTGGCTCCCTATCGCCTCAGCGATATAAAATACAAATTTCTCAGTCTAGTATTTAAAGTTCTCCACAAAGTGATTCCAACTTACCCTTCCAGTCTGATTCACATTACACTCCTTCATACACTCTGAGCTAAAGTCAAGCTAGAATATTGGCTCTCCCTGGACTTCATATGTCATCACCTGCCTCTATGAATTATACTGTTTGATCCCAAGTGCCCAAAATGCACCTCTCCTCATTTGTACCTGTCAGAATCCTTTGCTTCTTCCAAGGCTCAGCTCAAGCAGCACATCCTCTGTGAAGCCTTCCTTGATCTCTCTTACCTAAAAGTGTTCTCCTGCTTTGAATTTTACCAGGAGCACTGAGAATAGTTTCTTTCACCAGACCACACCCTACCTTGTATTGTACTTATCAGGACATATACCACATACCTCTTAAAAGAATATAAGCTCCCAAAGGGTAAGGACTGTGTTATTTTGTATCTTTGTGTCCCTAGCACCAGATCCAATGTCTTGCACATAGTAGTTGCTTACTAAATATTTGTTGAGTTAAATTGACTTGAGAATCATAGAATGTTAGAGCTGATAGAGACCTCAAAAATCATCTAATCCAACATCTATAGAAATGAGAAAACTGGGGCCCAGAAAGGATCATCTGGTCCAACCTCCTCATTTTACGGATACATTTGAAAAAACTGAGATTGAAAGAGACAGAGAGAAATAGATGAAGGTAAGGGAAGGAAAGGGAAGGGAGAGAGAAGGATTTGCCCATCACACTGGTAGTTTGTGGTGAAGCTGGGACCCAGGTCCTCTACCTTCAAGTCCATACCCTACCTCCAAGTAGACTCTCAGGATTTTGACCTAAGTCAAGAAGAGTATGGTTCCCTTTTGGAACAATAAACTCTAAGGGAATCCTCTTTATGGAAATAGTGTCTCCAATGCCTAAATACCAGAAGGCCTTTTGGACGATCATAAGCTCTCTGTGTGTCAGAGATTGCTCTCACAGAAAGTCAGCAGTTTGGCTGGTTACTACCCAAATTCCCAGGACTATTGTAGGAGAGTGGCCCATGGGTTCACCCAGAAGAGCTCTAATATCACTCATTACCTTGGCTGGTTGGAGAATACCTTTCTCCCAAAAACTCCACCATATGTTCATACCTCTAGCATTAATGAGCAACTCACTACCTGGGTGACCTTGAGCAAGTCACTTGCCTTCCCTGGGTCTCAGTTTCATCATCTATAAAATGAAGAGGACTAGATGGCCTCTGGCATCCCTTCTTCCTCCAGATCTAAAATTCTATGACTCTAAGAAGCTCATACAGTAAAACTGCAGCATTGGTTGTAAAGGGGAAAAGATTTCAGGTCCCCAGCTTCCTAGTCCATAGTTCTAACAGAAGACTAGTTTAACTCTCCTTGAGCCCTCAGTCTACACCCTACTCTCCAGTATCCCTCCCTTACCCCCAAGCTGGGTCATTTAATTAATGAGACATCAGCCAAACATGTAAATAAGACTTCTGTGGGAAGTCACTAGGGCTAAGGTATGTCACAAATTCTATCAGTGAGGAAAGGGAAACCAGAATTCAACTTGTGAATAGTGAGAGGCCACTCTCCAGCATCTCCAGAGGCCTTAAGCTCAGTCCCCTACATTCCATTCCTCCCACAAATTGTCCCCTTCCTGTCTCATCAATCTCATTTTCCATCACCCTCCCTTCTTCCCTGCCTAACTCATACTCTCTTGCCCACTATAAGGCAGAGCAAAGAGGCTATATTTACCTGGGAGGTGAATTGAGCAGCCTCCTGGGGAGGGTCTGACTTGCTGTCACCACAGACATTGCCACGGCGGATGTCCTTGACAGACACATTCTTCACATTGAATCCTACGTTGTCTCCAGGAAGGGCCTCACTCAGGGCCTCATGGTGCATCTCTACTGACTTCACCTCAGTAGTGATGTTTACAGGAGCAAAAGTCACCACCATTCCTGGCCGAAGGATCCCTGTCTCCACTCGGCCCACAGGCACTGTTCCAATACCTGAGAGGAGACAGTAAGAGGTGAAGGAGGGGAAAACCAAGGAGCCACAGATAATCTAGAAAAAGAGAAGCTCCTGAAAATCCTGATGACTTTGATTGGAGATGCCAGGGTCAAAGACAACAGTGGGGGTATGGATAATTGAAATCCACCAATAATCCAAAGACCTCATTTCAGTCAAAAGCCCCCACCTCCTCTCCCAAACTTTTTATCAAAGTTGCCAAATGAATTAATTTGAGTTTCATTTTTTTTGTTCCTGTCCCCATGGGGTTTCTGAATCATAGGACCACAGATTTAGAGCAGGAAGAGACCTTAAAGGTCAAGTGCCTCTCATTTTTCAGATGAGAAAACTGAGGTATAGAAAGGTTAAGTGATTTGCCCAGGATCATACATCTAGGGAGTGTCTGAGATAGTATTTAAACTCAGATCTTCCTAATTCCAAGTCCAATGCCCTATATATTATACTATGCTGGAGGTGGAGATAATGAACTGAAATGGCTACAATATAAAAAGGAGTAGCAGGAAAAATCAGAAACTGAGCAAAAAAGAGAGAAATAATTAGCCAGGCAGATGGAAACAGACAGACTGAGATTCATACATTCATTGTAGCCAAAACAAGACTAGAAGTCCAAGTCCAGAGCTCTTTCATCTTTACACTTTTAGCCCTTTCTAGGCTTTCCTTAGGTCTACGTCATTCATTCATTAGTCAGTAATTTTAATGAGTGTTTATTATGTATAAGACTCCTACGGTAGGTGTTGGGATGGGGGTGGGGTGTCAAACAAACCCATTCTCTGTCTCATGGAGCTTATGGTGTACTCTCTGAGGTTTAAGCAGAGACAAGGAACAGCAAAGAGGAGATTGGAATTCTCACCTCCAATCTTGTAGACATCCTGAAGTGGGAGGCGCAAGGGTTTGTCTGTTGGACGGGTGGGGGGCAGGATGGTATCCAAGGCTTCCAGCAGGGATACACCACTGGCATTTCCTTCCTTCCGCTCCACCTTCCAACCCTTAAACCAAGGCATCTGGAGAGCAGAAAAGACAGCAATGAGAGCCAGGGCAAGAGCTCAACTGAGCTAAATCAAGAAAAAGCTGAGCTAGTCATTGCGAAGTGCAGGGTGGACCAATCAGCCAGAATCTGTTTGCTATGGAACACTGGGAAAATCTACTCTTGAATCAAGGATGTCATGGACAGCTCCTTATGGCTCCTTCAACAACCAGCTCTTCTTACTCCTCAAAAGCATAGATAGTTCTCTAATTTCAAGAGACATTCTAGCTCTGGCCTCCTGTAAATCAAGGTGACATATAGATACAGATTTTATAAGCTTTAGAGCTTGAAGGAATTTTAGAGACCAGCTAGTCCAGTCCCTTCATTTTACAGACCAGGAAACTAAAGGTGAAGTAATTTGCACAAGACATGGGCCTATGATTCACTACTAGGAAGTAGAAAAGTCAGAATTCAAATACAGTTGAGATAGAATAGAAGAAAGAATCATGGGCTCATAGCTCAGAGTTGAAAGGGGCCTTAGAAATGATTGAGTCCATATCACCATATTTTGCAGATGAGGAAACTGAGACCCCAGAGATGTGAAGTAACTTCCCCAAGGTCACACATTCATTCATTTGTTTACTGTGACACGGTTGGAATTTGAACCCTGATATCTGACTCCACATCCGGTACTCTTTCCATATGTATAATGTGCTCACAGAGAGAAAAGTACATGAGGCAGAAGAAATAAAAGAAGTGTAGAACAAGGCTAGGTGGTAAAAATAGAATAATAAATAAGTTGGAGTGAGAAACTCAGCCTGAATATCTTAGCCCCTCCAAGCTCAGAAGCCAGCAAAATACCAATGATCATTGGATCGTCTACTTCCTGTTTTTCCATCTTTTTCTCTTTCATCTCTTTTCTCTCCTCTTAGGCTGGGCCCAATGGCAGATGGCTAATTGCTGAAATATTTGTTTTAATTTGCTTCATTTCCATTTCTTGAAGATACTGAATGCTCAAAAATTTTCCATCGTCTAAGTATCTGCATTTCCTGTGGCAGGAACCCTATACCCATCTCCCTTCCCTCTTCCTGTCTAATCTCCCTCTCTTCTCTCATCCTGCCTTCCTTCCCCTCTCTTCTTTCTCTGCTCTTCCTTCTCTTTTCCCTCTTCCCTATCCCTCTAGGCCTGTTATCTCCCAATCCTTCTTTCTTTTCTTCTCACCCCTCTCTTTCACCTTCCCCATTCCTTTCTCTCCCTTCTTGCCCTTTATGCCCCTTCTTTCTCCTTCTCTCCTAACTTTTAACATTGATTTCAGGTCCTAGACTGAACTTTGCCACATGGCAACCTGCAGGCCCAGCACCATCCCAAGAGACTCACTACTCAGGTTCACAATACAAACTGAGAGCCAGGTACAGAATCATCCATACCCAGGGCCACACTAAGCCCTGACCCCCACCCCCCTCATCCCAGGATCCTACCAGGTCCAGCTGCCACATATAAGCCCTCTAAACTAGGGCCAGGAAAGAAAGGACCTGAGGAGCAGATCTGAGGGCAGCCTGAGCCTCAATGTGTCCTCTCTCTCCTGTGCTGTCCTATATCCTCCCCTTCCTTAACTGGCTCTCCTCCTCCCCACCATCTCAGTGAATAACTATGAAGGAAACCTTTGCTTTCCAGTTTTTCAAGGCCTTCACAATACCCTGCAGGCCTAGTTTGGAGGACCAGAAAAATAGAGACAGCAAAAAGAAGCCATGACCCTTTCCCTGCTTTATCCTCAGCTTATTACAGACACTCAGAGAGCTGGAAACTGCTGCAGATACACCTTGAGGAAAGCATTCTACTGGCCCAGGGTATTACATACCTGGCCTGTTCCTAGAGTGCTGATGAGAAGATATAAAGCCCAAAGACCACAGGAAGTCCCCAACACTTCCCTTCCCACCCCCTCTACCTACCCCTCCACCCCTCCAAGGATTTACTCAAGTGAGGAGGAACCCAGATGAGAAAATCCTTTGATAGAAGGCACAGTGGATAGAGTGCTGGGCCTGGAGTCAGGAAGACATGAGTTCAAATCTAGTTTCATACACTAGCTGTGTGACTTTGGGCAAGCCACTTAACCTGTTTGCTTCAGTCTTCTTACCTGTAAAATAGGGATAATAGTAACAACTATCTGGCAGAGTTGTTGTGGGAATCAAATGAGATAATATTTGTAAAGCTCTTAGCACAGTGCTATATAAATGCCAGTTATTATTATTTTTATTATTATATTGTTACATTGTATATGGTAATATATTATATTATTATATTGTCATATTAATATAACACATTACTGTATTGTGTTAATATTATTGATATTATTATAATATTCCCATCCTCTTAAAATTTCTCTAAAACAAAAAATCCTTTGGCACAGGGCTCTTTGCACAAGAAAAGGAAAATAAACATCACCTGCAAGTCCCACCAGGGCTAATCCCAGTATCTTACCTTAAGGATCATGTCACAGTTTAGAAATGGATGAGAAACAGGAGCCAGACAGAGAGAAAGGGAGGAATGAAGGGAGGGAGAGAGGAGGGGGAGGGTGGGAGGGAGGGGGAAGGAGGGAGAAAGAAGGAAAATGAGAGGGAAAAGGAGTGAAAGGGAAGGAGGGAGAAAGAAG